ATTGCAGTTGCACTCACAAGAAAGGATGCTAGGTGGCGCTGTTAGTCAAATGCGTCACTCGGGTGGGACATCTGACATGTCTGGGCGGGACGGTATGAACTTCATACCACATTCAACGACATGAAAAAGTCATACACGTTTTTTTATGTCAAAAGGTGAGACCCCAAGTATAGTGAGTAAATTCTGGAATGGGTTACTCTACAACAGCTGCACCACGATCGCAACTGTTGCTTGTCATAGCAAAGTTAAGTTCTTGGAAACCCTGATCGTGATGAGGGAGGGGGGCGTTCTCCTGATCGGTGAGATGGCAAAGTTGGATCAAGTTTAAATCTTCACTAGTTTTGTGTTGAACCGTGATGTACATGTGAATTAGACATTCGAAGTGTATAACGTTGCATGGAAAGTTAAACTGTTAGCTTACTTGTCATCTTAGTGATTTAAGTTGTCAAAATTTTCAATTGCAAAGATAATCTTGTCAAATTTTGTACTAACGCGTTAGAAACTTACGGTTACTCAGCTGCTCGAACCACCACAGATATTGTCAAGAAAACGATATTAAACTTGCTTGACATTTTCAGCTATTAACCAATCAACAACAGAACATCACACATTTCCATAAGTTGGTTTGTCAACACCTAATTGTTTGTACTGGCTGTTAGACGTTTACTCAAAAAGTCTTTATATTACTATAAACTATGTTACTCTTTATAATAACGTTGATCTTGTAAATTGAATCGATTACAGGGAAGGGAATAGGTAGCTTACAGGTTGGATCTGTGGCCACATGTGATCAATCGGCATGACATCACAGCCAGTGAGTGGCAGGCAAAAATCGGATGATGATTGGCTGATTTGTCTACCAATAATTTGCGCAAGTCTTTAATTAATTTGCATGTATATGATGTAAACAAAAACAGTGATTGCTCGTATTGTCCCATTTCCTCAATATGCATTCCGTCTTTGTCCAGTTTCCAGTGCATTAGTAGCATTCCTATCCTGTATACATGTAGTAGTACTACCGTAGTGTATACTCAAGGAGACATGCCTTATCTTGTAAGAGTGGGTGGTCATTAGATAGTGATGTATTAGGGTATTTCCACAACCTATTTGTTTATGTCTAGTGTATATATTTTGCTAGGATGAGTTACAGCAGGATGTCGCAGTAATTTGTGTATGGCCACTCTTAATGTCCTAAAAGTCATATAAGATGAGGATATACGTGAAACTCTAACCCTGTCTGTGCTAGGGCTGATTTTTTTACTGTGTTCACCTGACGCTGGTGGGTTTAAAGGGTAACAACAACTGTGAGTGAATCCAGAGGCCCATGTTTGTTATGGTTCAGGCCCAGTAAAAGTGGAGTTTTACAGTATTATTGGCTGAGCCTGGTGACAGCCAGGTCCTGGTAGCCATAAGGGTCACTGAAGAGTCACCTGTTTGTACACATATTCATTTATCTTGCAGTATGGGTAACATGGGAGCAGCTGGCAGGTCACAACCTTCTCTGAAGGGGCAGCTGATACTTCAGCCAGGTTCAGAGGGTAAAGCCTGGCATATGGAAACTCTTTGGTGTAGTTCAAAAGATGTCCAGAAGGGGGCATCATACATTGATGGAAATGCAGATCTTTCACTGTCACTGGTGTCAATATTAGTATACTGATGAAGTGCAGTTACAGGAATCCTCACATTCCATCAGATTTGATGGTTATAGTTTCAAATATATCCTCTCTTCCCACTGGACCTGGCCATGGCATATAGAAGATTCAAGTGATGTTGAAAATGTCCTTACAACTACAACAAAATGGCCTGTCAAATATTCCAGACCTACACTTAATAGACTAAGGCCTAGGAAAAAAATGTTGTGTTTCTTGTTTCCCGACCGACCCTAGAAAAACCTGCCAACCCTAGACTTTTTGGGGGGTGGATTCCTGCAAGGAACAATTTTTCAAGCTGATCAACCTTTTCTAGCTCCATGATGTCACACCTGAGAGATAAAATGTTGTACATTGTACAATTGATTTTCTAACATTGACATTGAAAATAAAAGTGTCCTTATGCAAGTTTTTCTTTGTTAAACTGTAGTGTATATATATAAGTTGGATACATATAATAGTATACAATGTTAGGTATCACTGAAGTCTAAAAAAAAGATGATTCCTGCCTACCGACCCTAATTTTTTCAGTACTGAAACAGGAAACACAACATTTTTTTCCTAGGCCTAGTGCTAAATTGTCTTTGTAGAAAGTCTACTCTCACCTTCCTTGGGGTTTCTACAGTTTATTGTCTAACCAGTACTAAGAAACAAATGAAATTTTCAGTACTATTGTATTAATTTGTGTGAACACTTTGTGTTGTACATTTCAAACAGAAAGCTAGTCCACGTTTAGTCATTTCCAAATTCAAAAAACTATGGCAAGAAACACCTGCATGACTCATTGTAGATCAAAGGCTTTCATGTCACCTTTAATTGAGTTACTTTGCACCTGCATGTTGAAGTGGCCCTTAGAGGGGACATTCAGGGCTTGAATAAGAGACCTACTATGCTGTACATGTATTGTCCAAAATGGTTGACTGATTTTTTTTTTTTTTTTTACAGATGATATGTCTAACTTGAGATAAAAACATACATGACTGTCAACCCATTTTGTAATCTCTTAATTAGTATGAGTGCTGTTGAAGAACTAGATATGGTGAATCATGATTTGCCCTTGGTACATTTACATTACCAGTTTCTCAAAAGGAACAAAGATGTATGCTTTTCACCTAAACAAACCTAACCCAGGGTAGAGATTGACATATAGTGTTGCCAACTGGTACATTCAAATAATGCTGTTTTCTTTGGCCCATCATTTGTGATGACAGTATGTCTGAAATTAAATTCTATATGTACATGCATTTATCATATTTATTATGACAGTAAACATGTAATAGAATCTTGATTGCACTTTTTGTAAAGAAAGATTGTCGCACATACTACTAGGTTGATTGACACCCCTTCCAAGGAGATTTAGTGGCAGATTCTTGCTTTCAAAGAACTGTTAGATTGACAAAAGTCCTTACTCAACAGTTGAGTCACAATAAACAGTTTGCTGCGTGACGCTTTAGTTGAAACACTCTTGTCAAACCTTCATTGTATGTGTGGGTGTTGACAACAACTTTCCCACAGTCTGCACTGAATCAACGAGAGCTTTGCTTTGTCTTCATGGGACTTGTAAAAAATCACAAGATTTCTCTTCATAATAGCAAAGTATCTTTGATGTGAGGCACCTGCGCACATGCGTATAAACACTGCTTTGTGTTCCACAGAATCACAGAAGCTTGACGCAATTGCAGGAGGAGAGCCTTTTACACTGCTTGCTGTTGATACAGGAATATAAAAGCATTTAGAACATCAATCATTTGCCTGTAGTGTATTAGGTCAATCAGTGTAAAATCCAGCCATGTACTGATGTAGAGGGCTTTTTTCAAACCAACTTTGGTACATCATTGACAAGCAGGCAACATGACAAGCTGTACCGGCATTGAAGTTTTTGAAATGTAGTGTAAGAGTTGACGTAGTGTGGGCGTAAACTGTAAGTCAGAGACAAATTGTTCCTGTTGCAGTGGTAGCTTACCTACTTGAACATAGAAAAACCTGCAAGATGTTTGACTAGGCTTTACTTTGTAGAAAAGTGAGTCATTGGATTTATATGGAGAAAGATTCAAAAGGCAAAGGCTAAGATGTTCTTAAGAGAAGGCACCATACGGAACTGAACTCTCACCCTGTGCAGTCAACTTCTTTTGTTCAATATACATCTTTGATCTCAGTTCTACCTTTGATCTTATGTCAAAGAATATGTCCTTACAATACTGGGTTATATGGCCAGTGATGCTATTACACTTAGGAAAAGCTGTTAACAATGGAGATGATCAATTAATAGCTATGTATGGTCCGTAATTTTCTTGGAAAAACTTTCAGTTGACCTTTGTACCTTTGATGCTGTTGAATACACACATGCTTACACAAAGTACAGATTAGTCTCTGTGATCCATACTAGGGTGGAGCTAATGCAGTACACGTTATCTATGATGATGATAAATTTGAATCCCATTTATATCTTGACATTACCTGTGGGAACATTTCAGGTGTGCAGTGGGGCGTGGGTCCTACATCCGATAGCTGTTAAGGTCGTGATGTAATCTTTTGTATGCAAGGCTATTGAAGACAACTCACCCGTGGCCATGACCGTGCGTTTTACCATGTATGTCTACAGGTCTATTCTCAAACAGTATTGTTTTTGACTGTAGCGAGTCACATTGACTTCTACATAGGTTATTGTCGTACTTCTGCATAAGGGTGCGTCAGAGGTAGAACTATAAATTAGTTTAAAGGTCTGTTCAAAGGTACTTGGAAAAGACTTAAGTTGTGTAAAGTAGACTCAGAGCAAACTAATCAAGGTATAGTGTGTGTTTCCATGGAATAGAGGAAATGAAAGAAAACTGGATTAGAAAGGTATAAAGACAAGTTAATTGAGTTTTCATGCATACTTGTCAACAGTAAAAATCTTAGTAGTAATAACTAGTGATTGACCTGACATCTTATTATTCATATCTGATTTTGATTTGAGGGTGTAACATCTGTGTCCATAATATCACCAGGGTCCATAATATCGCCACCTTGAGAAATAGTGTGCTTAAAGATATTTTTACTGCAACATACCCTAGGTATGTACATTGGAGGTGTGCAGGAGTGCATACCAAAAGTGTGTTGCAGTAAAAATATCTTAAAGCACACTGTTTCTCAAGGTGGCGAGATTATGGACCCTGGTGATATTATGGACACAGATGTTAGTAGTACTGTACTGGTATTGTGATTATGGTCAGAATACTGACAAGGGGGAGCGTGGCAGTAAGCTGAACTGAAGTGTCCAGACCTTGCGGCTGGTTATGTGGTATTCCTGTCCTCGGGCAGAAGACACGTCTGCTCATTGTGCCTCCCCCCACACCAGCCCGCTCCCTTTGTTATTGCTTGATTCAGCATGTGATTTAGCGGCAAGGCATGTTTTCACTGTAACCGGTTCACACAGCCAGCTCAAACTGGCTCCTACTTGTCACGCCCCCCACCAAGAAGTGGTTTGGGGATTGATATTAGTCCATGATAGTTCCATATTGTTATTCAAACATCTTTTACCAGTTACTAGTACTCTGTGTGTGTGACTGTCTATAGTAGCATACATGGAAAACAGTTATAACCTGTACAAGAAGGTTAAGTTCAAGATTTGTTCATGTTATGTTCAAATATTAACTGCTATATTTATCTGCTAGACAATTGGATTGGATGAACTTGGTATAATTTTTTTAGGTGCCTGTCCCAACATTCAATTTCAATGATTACATGCTATAACATCTTGCTTGTGAAACTATGGAAATCGAACAAAAGTAGTCATTCTTGGTATGTAATGTTGCAAGAATGACTTGTGTTGAAATGGTCCATTATCACTGTGTACTGACTTTGGTCCTTTTGAAATCTTTGCAGGTTTTAGAATTCCACCACCAAGCTGTAATAAGTTACCTTTCTTTTTTAGGAAAAACTGATAAAACACCCATTCAGCTTCACAATCCTTAGGTATCTGAAATTCAAAGTACATCAATAGCCTTTTATTCTGTGGAATGCTTCTCTCTCACTGTCTTTAGACTCACTTGAACAATACGTTTTTTCTCTGGAATGAGAAAAATTGGGACAACACCTATTTTTATGGTTAACACAAGTGGCCTACATCTCACAAGGCTCTGATGTGTGATTGTCTGTGACCTGCCTTCCATCCCTGTGTTGATTGAATGTGAAAGAGCAGAGGTTGAGGTGTTGACAGTGATACCGTTACCAAGGACATGAGTGCTTAAGTATTGTAATGTCCCAATACTTGCCTGTCTACACTTAACAATATGTATGACTTCCCAACTGAAAGTGGCACCTCTGTCAGATTGTTTCCAAATTTTCCCAAATTCCTTCTGGGCCAAGCCTAATTTTGAAAGTTTTCCACAATCCGTGTTCCTATAATTGTACATGTTCTGCTACCGGTGATTGAAATATAGCATTGCTCACATTTCATAATATATGTATTTGTGGACACCTGTACAAGAGATTTGTCTGTGGGCAGTGACAAAAGGCCAGGCCCATCCCTGTTGGAGCTATGTTGAAAGCATGTCCCAGTGACGTAGATGTTGAACAGGTGTGCTGACGGATCTGTTGCTGCCGTGTCTTCTCCATTGACATCCTGTCATCACTACTTACGTCACAGTGCCTGAAGGGCAAGTTGTGGATCACCTGTGTTGCTGGGGGAACAATGTGAAGAGTTTGAAGAGTCTTTGGTGCCTGATATGGCATCCCCCCCTCTTGGGGTTAGGGAGTGTTTTTTACACAGGGATAAAACCAGTAGTATATGTTTGTGGAGAAGGTAAGAATTAATTTGGCTGATAGAAGCAAGGAAAATCAAATGTAAAAGTAGATGTTATTTTAGAAATCCAAATGATATTGAAATTGTTTTCTGGCACACAGATTATTCTCAATTGGTCTGTGAAATCCTGGAATCATGGTACGCCTTACCTGAGCAAGTACTGTTTTGTCAACTGAATCCCTGACGTCACAAAGGTGTATCAACTTTAGATGGGCAGTTAATAATGCTTATGACCATCTCAAGACGGATAACAGCTTACTGTAACTGTCTCTTTGACGTCATTGTTGTTTTGTGGATAAATTTTGATACCAGCACTTGTAAATGCAGGACACACCTTGCAATAAACAAACCCTAAATTCTATGCAGATTATATTTGGATTTGTTGAAAGACTGTACAATTACAGCCACATAATGTGTAGCTGTCTTGTCCATAAAGTTAGTCCATAACAGGCATTAGGAGTATAGTATGTGGATCTCA